GAATGTTGTTTGTACAAATATGATTTATTACACTCACTAATTACATAGCCGATATGGCGGCAGACGAATTTTGCGTCCCCTCCGGCCGCTGGTCTTAGATCGTCTCTTCTCTCTGGCTCTTCGGCGGGTGACATCTCGGGGGTTGTCGCCGGGTGTCCTCGGTGAGACCCGTCATACAAGCAAGAAAACACCTCGGACTGTGTTAGGAGACTGTCTTTTGTATGATGTATTAGCGGGGTGTTACAGCCGCTTAAAAAAAGCGCCGCCTCAACTTTTTTTTTTTTTTTTTTCAGATGCTGTATTTTATTAGTAAGAACTTGTACACTTTCTGGTCTGACAGAATGATAGGCCGCGAAACATGCGTTTCTGTAATAGTTGCTTTAAATCTAAACCATATATGATCTATGAAATAATCAGCCCGATTATATTTGGCATAGTTACTTGTCAGAAGACGGTCACTGGGAACTTTCTTCAATTGACTGAGCTTTTGCCCAGCAACCTTTTCTTCTTCTTCTTTTTTATGAGCGGAGCTTTATTTTGTTGTGGGTGGAGCTTCCTTAACAAATGTTATTCTGCAACGGACTACAGAATTACGAACTCCAACTTTCGATGCAGATGCCGCGCAGGATCTATAGTGCGAAAGATATACCTTCCAAGACTCTGACCTCGGGCCTCTGGATCTCACTCTGCTTTAGTTATATGGTGCCTTAGTAACAGTTTACTGAACGACATGTGTGACACAAATTTCAAGGCCTATCGTTTTTGGATTATATTATCAATCTAAGCAATAATATGAACGTGAAGTAGGTGCAGGACAAAGGGAGAAGATAAAAGGGGATAACACAGACACAGGTCTCTGTGTTGTCCCCTTTTTTCTTCTCCTTTTGTTCTACGTCTCGGGTTTTACAATGTTGAAAGTTCACCAGCTCGCTTGCATCTTCTCTGTAATTCTGTGAAGTAGGTGTTCTTTGTTTTCCTAAAGTTTAACAGATTCTTGTGAGTTGAGCGTAAACATTTGGCAGAAATCTGTCGCTTTCGGGGGAATAAGAATTAAAAGAAGACTCCCAACCGAGCCCTAATGTTCAGAGACCCCGAGATGTATAGATTTGGTTGGAGCGTTCTTTTAGTTATGCTTATGAGAGCTGGGAACATGACGGAAAACAGCGCTCTCAAAATACTTTATCACTCCAGCTGAAGCAAGCATTCGTGCCGCATGATTCCGCCGTAGTATGCAGTTATTATCAGTATTTTTACTAGTAATACTTATTATTAACAGTAGCAATTTCATCGCTCGTATTATCAACGATGCTGAAACAGTCTCCAACTGAGTCTGTCTGTCTAATATCACATTGTATGTAAAATAAGTGTGTTGATTGAGAGTTCGTGAAATTCAAACTTGCACTGCTCTTGCCATCAAGAAATTCAGCCCCCATTCTTCCGTATTTTTTGTTTTGTTTTTGTTTTGTTTTGTTGACATCTTTAAAACCATGCCATCGCAAGAAATGACTGCTCCAGACAGTAATTTCTTAACGAAAAAAAAAAAGGACAGAAAACGCTACGCTTGCCACGCGCATGATAGTGGAACAATGGCTCTTCGTGTGGTTTTCTTCTTACAAAACCACGTGGTCCAGTTATCCATTGTCTTCGACGGCCTGTTGTCGCAACCTTAAAGCTCTTCCGGCATATTCGTCAGTTTTTTGTTTTTTACACTAGAAATTGAATGTAATTACATATGGCGCCCTTTTTGTTTGTAGCTTTCTTTGTAAGTGCCAGTAACGAAACCAGCTTTTTAGAACGAGCGGTCCAAGAGCATTTGCGTTCTTTTCCCTTTCTCTTTTTGCCCTGGTCTCTGGTCACAGAGAATAAGGGAAAGGCTTCTTTGTGCAAATCTGAAGGCGTAAAGATAAGTCAGGTTGACCAATGTTTTAGTGGAAAGGGGGGCCTATGGCAGCTGAAGTCGACAGATATCTTTGTCTCGCCTGGTATCAGAGATCGCGCACAGCAAAACCCTTGCAACTTGGCTGTTCTGCACGCTTGCACTGTCCAACTTCATTAAATGACTGAAAAAAAAAAGTTGATCATGGGAAACCTGTGGGGGACTTATTTGTCCCGATATAAGTACTTCAAGAGGTGTCCGAGTTATGGGGGTTGGACACCTCTGAGGCTTGGACAGCTCTACAATAAAGTCGGACAGACTCAGCGAGGACTCAGAGGTCATTAGTTCTCATAATGGACACCTCTACGATTTGGAGATCTCCGAAAGTTGTACAAGCTTGATGAGTGTCTCATTATGTAGACGTTAGTCTGACGGCCCAGTCAATCACCGCAAATGTACCAGCTGGCGATATCTCATTGTACACCAATTCGTACAGGTAGATGAAACATCAATTGTGATTAAGCTGTTGTTGCACTTCCATTGTCATTGTGTAATGAAAAGTGCAATCCACGACTCGTTAGAATATAAACTTTTTTTTTTTGATAACTGCCAAACTAAGGTATTTTAAGCCTTAGTGTGCAGTTATGGACATAAAGAAAAACACGCAAACTTAAAGTCGCCATCAACCTATTCCTTCAATTTTATATTTACTCTGTGACCTCAAAATAAGGTCACTCTAAAAGTGGTGCGAGCGCTATATACTCTCCTCAAACTCAAGATATAACGAAGACAAGCTAACAAAATTTAGAACAAAGATCGGTTCCACAGGTAGACCGGGAAAATATACACACATTTCAATCGATCTATCCTTAGATAGGACTGTCGCGGCTAAGACAAGCCGAGTGGTGCATCTAGCAGCACGGGATGTTCAGGTGTTAAAAGCTAAAGTTGCGACGATACGCGCCACGAAGACGTTTGGAAACTGCCAAGAAACAAAGTTACATCTCTGCGTTGAGGAAAAGCTACGTCGCCTGCGGTCGCTCCGGACAGCGGCGACCTTCCTCGCTCCATCTCATCAACGTGCACGGCTAAAAATATCACAGAACAAAAATAATGCGCCCGCGCTTCCTACTTCCGACGGCGGGAAACCGTGGCTACTCAGCAATCCCCCGAAATGCTAAAGGCCGTTTAATGTAGTTCAAGATCCATGCACGTCGAGAACAATATAAATTCCAAGGCTTTGGCCTCACGGCTCAAGTAAGGTTTATGGCTCACTATAGAGTTCAGACGGCTCGTGATATAACTTCCTGTTCACGAGAGCTGCATATTATTTGTTTTCTTTCTCTTCCTGCATTTTCTTTATGAGGATTTTTTTTTTTTTTTTTTGTATGAAACATCGGTCAGCGTTTAGTGTTTTGGCGCTACTAGCGCGGACTCTCATCGGGTAGGAGAAAGAAATATTGGTATCACTGCCAAATTTCTTGTTGCCCTCAAAACAGAAGGTCAAACTGCCACACGTAACAAATGTTCTGAGCACTGTACGAAATAAGCCTTGGTTCTGAAATGCCTAAGAAGAAAAGCTAAAAATTGGCACTCACTTTTCTTCTTCGTATATAAAGCAATGCAGCAAAACGCGACGGTTTTTCTTCCTTTTTTTCTTTTTTCTCTCTCTCAGTTTTCCTGTTTGAGTGTCGTACGGGTTTGCTCCGGCATTTGTATCATTGTATTTATTGCTGCGTGACATTTTGCTTGATACGTTGCATTTTTTTCAGCAGTTTGGCCAACACGTCTGAGAAAATTGTGTAATCAAATTGTACTGTTTTTTTCTTGTTAAAGTGCGAGTTATCGTTGTTGTTTTCTTTATAAAAACGTGTGTACAATATGCCCTCTCCTATTGTAATCCCGGATGAAACTGATAGTATTTTAAATAAAATAAAATAAGGAAATTGTGAACATATACATGTTCACGTGCTGAACCAGCACGTGTTCAAAACGTGCTAGTAAGGATAATTTTATGTTCTTCCCATTATTTATATTATTTTGCTCCGCCCGTTAATATTAACGATTTTTGCTTTCATTTGCGCTTTTCTTTTTCCTCGCACATTTTATTTCTATACCCTGTTGGAGGTTAAGAAAAGCATGGACAAGTCCTGCCACAAAGCCTTCCACTCTTTCCACTCAAACGGAGCAAACGCTGGAGAGGAGGCGAGAGAAAGTGAGAAGGGACTCGCCTCCTCTCCACTGTTCGCACTGCTAAATTGGAAAGAGTGAAGAACTTCGTGGGGGGAGCATCTCCTACTCTTCTTAACCTGTAACAAAGAATAGCAAAATGACCATTATCCACGTTGCCAGGTAAAAACAAGTTATAGCTGGAGTATCCGAATAAATAAATTCATTCATCATTCATGAATGACGTAAATTCTGCTGTTTCTCAACCAGCTGGCCTACACTCTTATCTCTTCACGAAGCTTAAATTTTCCACAGCGACAAGTGGCCTACTCTACCGAAAGCACGTAAACATTTTTTTCTCTTGACCCTACGTAGGGCCCAACGGATTACTAGTCGAACAGCTTGGGGACACAAACGTCTCTAGTGGTACCCAAAGTCCACGAGCGCTAAGCCTAGCCCCGGGAAGAGCGAAAGTAAAACCTCCGGGTACCTCTTTGTAAAACCTCCCCTGTCCACCTGCTCCCTGTGTCCTGCTCAAAAGACCAGGAAGACCTCAAGGACAAGGGTAGATACTTTCGCGAGCCGGGTTCATCGAGAAGCAACCTCCATTTACCCATAAACTGACAGGGCGCTGGAAGCTAAGGTGATCCTCGGACCAATCACACGACTATCTTTAACCCCGTGATCAGTCTCCCGCCCGTACCCACGCTTAGAGAGCGGAGTCCAGGTGACGAAAAGGGAGGCGGGTTGATTGTACCGGCGAGAGCGCGTAGCTCCCACCGCACTGCCAGCTTGCAGGTGAAAGGAGTGGAAGACCCGTGCAGGAACCAGCTGAGGAAAGAGGTCAACCACAGTCCGCTCGGACGGCCTCCTTGCCCGAAACCGGTCTCCAGCAGTCGACGACGTGGAGGCGCGCCTGCTCGAAGCAGACACCTCCTTGCCGCATTCCTGCTTAGGCCTAACGACCGCCACCGGGACCATCGGCAAGCCGGACTTTCGCTCGAAGTCGGCGCTCTACACCAGCGGATATTGGGCGACAACCATGACTTGAGATCTCTCGTTCCGAGTGTTCACTTTGTTGCTTCGGGAGGGAAGAGACGACAGCGAGGCCCGTGAGCAGGGCTCGAGGAGTTTTCCGTCGACGTGAACGAACGGGTCGCAGAACCACAACAAACATGTTTCAGCCGTCGACCCAGAGGCTAGGCCTACCGGCCCTGCTGTCAGTATTGATGCTTGCGGTCATCCTTCTTCCGACGATTGTACACGGACGTAAGTGGCCTTCCTTCCTCTTTATTTCTTTTTAGCGGGAAAGCATGTTTATTTGGTCGAACGATACCGCGAATATCTAGCTGGTTGTGTTATATGTTTATTTTCTTAATCCCATTTTAATTCTCATATTCATATATATTTCCCGCACCGTCTTGAACATTGACACTAAAGGTCTGTGGTTTTCGTTCTCCTATTATTGTTAGACTGCACTGAGCAAAGAGGGACGCTGTTTGCATATTCCAGCATGCCTAAAGAAACCGTTACGCGTTCGTATATCCTCGTGAGAATGACCTTCGGTAAAAAGTCCCGTTATCCGTTCACCGTGCGTCGCCGGAAGTAGGTCCTGTTGTGATTAGTCGTCATACCGGCGGAAGTACGAAGCTATAGCACTGATACGTCAATCGGTTAGTAACACTTTGTTATCTGTCCGCGTTAGAGTATCCCGCTAAATGTGTTTTATTAAATTTGCCCAGAGCAACTGAAGCATTTGTTTATAGTAAACATTCTTCGGGATTCGAATTTAACCCACTGGCGTAGTTAAAATTATCTTTGTAATTTTTTTTTTTTATTTTTTTTTTTTAATTAGAGACAGCTGTTAGTAAATGTTGTATGGTAGGCGAACTCGAATTTGTGTGACCAAGTTTTTTGCAATCTTTCTTTTTTATTTTGTAGTTCGGAAAGTCTCTTGATTCCTGAAGAAGTGGAAACGTGCAGTTCATGCGTCACAAGAGCGATAGAAATCCCAGCAGTTGTGTTCCTCAACATATAAAGTTATATTTACAACTTCGTACTTCTTTTATCAGACCCATTTGGATCAACATCAGACCAATTTATCGATTAATTTATCGACTACCTGTCACCAATTTTTAGTCGGCGCGTCCGGGACATACTTGTTTTGTATGAAGCGACGAACCGCAGACGTCAAGCTAACTCGCAATCGTATCTCAATGCAAGGCTTTGCAATGTATAGTAAACTTCTCCGTTTTCAAACGCTATTGCGTGAGCGGGCCTCTTCTTCGGTGGGAGATCGCGTCTACGATGTCAAGGTTCCACTTGCGTCTCCCTGCACCGCCGAACCTCGGATCTCCGGGCTTCGAACCGAAAGTGCGATGTACACGCTCACCCTACCAACCAAACGCCTGTTTTTATCGCCTGACCCCTCTCTCTCTCTCTCTCTTTGTCTCTCTGCGCGTGGTTGTGGGAGGGAGCGTGGTCATGTGACAAAAGATAGACGTGTGATTGGTCCAACGAATACGTAGCTTCCACCACACTGTCAGCTTAGGAGGGAACAGAGCATTGGCGCCCGCTCCATAACCAGTTATGCCAAAATGAATATCCGCGCGCGGAAGTTTTCGGCTGCTTTCGAAGGTTGTCGTGCACGCATGAAGCGGCTAGCGTCCGCTGGTCAACGCTATCAACTGTTTTTTAGGGGAAGACGACGTGTAGCCTAGGGCACCGAACTTTAACCTCTTGATGGCAATTCAGCACCTTTTGAATGTAAATGCAGCGTCACTTACCACCACTGATTCGCCGTTTACATTTCGCATACAACGTTTAGCATGTTTGTGTGTACAACCCTCGAGGAACGCGCTCCTAAAACCAATTCCTATTTATATAAAAAAAATATTTTGGAATCTACACGGACAGTTTGCCGTGTAGATTCCAAAACCGGCCGTTCATGTAGCGTATATTCTGCAAGCGTTCCCTCTGCCATGTTACTTTCGCAATGTAGGAGTGATATTAAGAAGCAAGCAATAACTCATTACTCGCTTACAAATTACTGTCGATTATTATAAATCTTTCCAGAAAGTTGCAACCACTGTCTCTAGCCTAAATGAAATTCATAACAGTCAATGGTGTTAAAAAAAAAAGGCACTCCTAAAGGCTGTGCCCTATATTGTGATTAAACATCTCCAGGAAAATATGTAGTATACTCATTTGGGCAGAACTTCTGGCGGAAAGTAGCGTGAACTAGCCACGAGTGTAAGGGTGAAACAGAAGCGTATGCACTAAAAACGCGGTAACGCCGGCACCTCAAAGGAATTCATATCACGCACTCCGCTATTCAATCATTCCCATGTACCAATGCATCCATGGCATGGATGCATTGAAATATGGCTGCTTCACCTACCCGGGTATGGTCACAAGCTCATGAAGGTGCCCGTGTTTGTTCGCGGTAGTTTCTCTGCAGCGACGTGAGAAACCGGCGGTGGCATCATCCTCGAAGTGCTCAATGTGCGTGGCTGCTCAAAGGCTTAGCGCGGCCGCCGCGCTCGACTCAACGCTGTTCGTTTCTCTTCGTCCGTTTTCGGCTAGCCCCTGCTTCATGTTACGTTAAAAAGCCGTGGTTGCGTCATCGTCGCAGTGTATTCCCCAAGGTCACGTAAAGATCAGAAACTCAACCGAAAAACAAAAACAAAAACAAAAGGTTTATAACTATAACGGCTATAGTTATGAAATCGCTTTTGTTTCGGTTTTTCTTGGGTTCCGGTTTTCGAATATCGGTTACCAATTTAGCGTTCCCCCAAAACCGGTTCATTTTCATTCGTGTGAAATGCGTAAAAAAAGGCCTTTCGAAAGTTGTCCAGCAGCAATCAAAGTTGTTCCTAAAAAAAAAAAAAAAAAAAATCAAAGCTGCATTTTTTTTTTTTTTTTGCACTTTCTATTTAGAGGTTAATGGCGTGTCTGAAATTGTAGCAAGACACTTCATTCTATCAATTCGCCGAAGGCCGAATGTTTCAATTCCCGCCTATGTTTATTCGTTTTTCCGTGGTCTATGGGGAGATTCCTTCCATCGTCCTGCCACAACACTGTAAAGGCTACACGCGCTACCCACCGCACGAGTTAAAACGAGGATTCAGACTCTTCCTGTGGGCCAAGGGTCTCGCGCTCTTGAGCTTCCCTGTAACCCCAAGCTAAGGTGTACTAGATCGGGGAGGTGTGCCGTCCGGCGGCCGTGAGAGTGTCGCAATGTGCAAACACGCCGCTGAGGGCGCTGGAGGGCAGAGCGCGGCCATCCGACAGCAGACAGAGGCCTGGCCGCCGCAGCAGCGACGCTTCCTTCAGCCTGAAAATAGTCGCATTCTTCGTTTGTTTTTGCCTGCTTGTGTGCGAGAAAGATTAAGTGCAACCCTATATCACACCCCCATGAAACAGCATGATTTGAGCGAGCGGCAGGACCATTCCAAAGCGTAAACGCCGTTTGGGAGAGGTTAGCGCCACTAAATAAGCTACGCTTCAGAGTAACGACACTTGGCCATATTGTGTCTTATAATCATGGTTGCCAGTTATCTGAACCTTTATCTGAAATCACAGTAAATGTTTTCCCGCCCTCCACAAATGTTTAAACCGTTCGCGACAGAGCAAAGCAATATTACACGAGCTTTCTACCACCGAATCTAATGCTGAGGAAGTCGCACTTTTGAATCATGACAATCGGCAGTTGCGTCTGCTCTGCATACGAGCCAAAATGGCGGCGCCCACAACAATGTCAGGGAACGAAGTGCCGATACTCTAAGCGCAGCTTATTTAGTGGCTCTAGGAGAGGTGTATAGTTACAATCTCGATTCTCTAATATTCTTTTTCTTCTTTTTTTCGTTTCGCTGTTAAAGGAGCTATGCAACAATTTTTGTACTTTGCGCAAATACCGCTTAAAACGGATCCCTAACGTTAATGACCTACGAAACACGCGTCCGTTTTTCAACCCACGCAATAGAAGTCCCAGAAAAAAATTTAAGAAAAACGAGCAGCGTTCACCCCCTCAACTCGCAGCCAGAACAAGTGGCCACGTGATCTGGAGCCGATTATATGCCGCCAGTGTTGATCATAGCCACGCGCTGGGGTTGGCAAAGCGCAGGACACGCGCTGAGTTCCAGACATTGTTATGGCTCGGCTGTTGTCGTCGTTGCAGCGATTGGACACGGGTCACAACCCGAATGCTTCTCGAGCTAGCAATTGTCACGAGCCCAAGTCGAGTGCTCACGCAATGCTCGGGTCCAATCTATGAACCGCATTCAAATATCGTCACTTGGGTGTACTGCGATCCCCGAGTTACGTCATCAAATTTTGCAAAGGAGAGATTGAATGAAAATGATCGCTTTTGTCCTTGAAATTACACCGCAACAAAGGAGTTTCTTGGCCAATGGCGTTGCGTGTGAGTATCCTTGAGTCCCAGCTGTGCCAGTAAGCTCGTGTAGAGAGAAAAACATTCCAATTGAATATCGTTGCACAGCTCCTTTAAAGAAGAAGAATCGTCTATCTCATCTTGCGTGAGCATTAAGAAAGCGAAGTTTAAGTATATGATATAATGTGCAATGCTTTCCTCTCGCTTTAGTATCAAGGCTTTTTTAATTCTATTTTCGGAAGCTGTACCTTTTGCAGACCTTTAAATACCTAGTTTTTTGTTCTGGTGTTAATACATATTTTTACATAGCATGAAATAATGAGAGCGATGTTTTCTTGACTTCTGCATTCTCAGTCCAACATTATAGGCCAGGATATGTCTGAATTCATTTTATCTATAGTCAGCATGCATCATATAAAAATAAACACGAAGACTGGCCAGATAAACGGAGCAACTACAACTGTTGTCTTTATTGAAGAGCAATCTGAAGAAATTTGCTCTCTCCGAGATGTCACACAGGTCACAGATTCTTCTTGGACGTTTTTTTGTTTTTTTTTCTCTTCATCCATTTTTGTTTTCTTCTTTTCTTGGAATCAGGCGACCCCACTCCTCAAACAGAAAGGCGTTGCTCGGCGTTCTAAACAAGGAGTGTTTCTCTTTGCATGTATTGAAACCCACCTTGCCCCCCGGCCACGGTGTAAGGTACACTCTTTAGGTGAGGACACGGCGGGGCTGAACGCGCGGCGCGAGGAATCAGATAGCGTTCGTTCGAAGGGCATCCGAAAGGCTGCATCATTCCGCGGCCACCGTGCCCGCGGCTGACAGTGTCGCCGGCGGCCAAACAGCGAAACTGTGTGAGAACGAAAAAAATTAGCTCGTTGCCCTGACACCCCGGTACACCGTGGTCTTTCTGCACGAGCGACAACCTCGCTGGAGCTCTGCGCGTGTGGAACATGAGGCGGCACGAGCCGTCTTTGCCGTGCCCACGGATCGACGAGTCATCTGCCGGCGCCGCTTGAAACCATAGTGAGAGAGAGAAAGAGAGAGAGGGAAAAACGAACTTTACCTGCACTGCGCGAGGTGCGCACTGTCCTCACCTGAAGAGTATTATCCTACACCGTGTCCCCGGCGCCAAACAGCGCCGCTCCGTCTTCCTCTTCACCGTATTTAACATCTTTGTGATCGAGTCCCTTGCCTCTTCGGCACAGAAAGCAGCCACAAAATATTGTACACCGCTTCATACACAACGCAAAACAAGAAGAAAGAGTCACACCAACACGCCCTACGCCAGCCTCGCTAAATGCTGCCTGACCGGGCTCCCGTCCCCGCTGTGACTGGCAACGCCACCCCAGGCCCCTGCGGCCAGGATTGGGCGACTCGACTCCCAGTTCCTATCGAGATGCCGATGCAGTTGGCACAGCTCCCAGTTCTAGTAGACCCTACCCAAGCTACGCTGAGACCTTGTAGAGTTAAGCCAATGTCACACTGCAGGTCATACGTACCTCATACAAAAGACAGTCTACAAACACGAGTCACCTCAATATCCGTGGTTCGAAGGCCGTGTGTCAAGTTTCTCCCCGAACTCATTGCCTTACGGCACTCGAAGCATGGATCTCGCGGTGACTCGCGTTCGAATCTGTATGCATGCCGCCTTTTGTCTGATGTATAGATGCTTTAAACACGCGCCAGATTGAGCCGTCATTGCCAACTTCCTCTTGACTCACCGAGGTGCCGAGCCACTGAACCGGGCGTTGACGAGTTTCACAAAGGCCTATGCTGGGGAGAGGGACAGAGTAACGCCTGAATTGGCAATAGCCTGTCCTGCTGTGGACATGATGAAGTGAAGCGAAAGCAATAAGAGCAAACAAAAAATTAAAATCAGTTATCACAGCTGCCTGAAAGCGTCTATATAACCGGTGTGACCTCGGCTTTACGCTCTCCACTGCAACACATCTAATCCTTGAGGCGAAGAGGTGATATTCACCTTACACCATAGACGAGGTCGTCGTTCACAGCGTATGCTCAGAGAAAACTCACACTTTCTGCCTGCCAAGAATGGGGATCTATAGCATAGCATGCACGATGCACCTTTGCGGAAGCTCGCGCTGTCAGCACACATTCATTATACCCTGTTTTACCCCTTAGGTTGTACTTATAGCGGACTGCTAGCCACCGCGGAGCCTATTCATAGCCCGGAGCGCGTCACGTGACCTTCCGGTTGGGTGGAGCCAACCAGAATATCACGTCCCTCCCCGATTGGCTCTACAAACCTTCATCTTCAAAAAAAAGTCCGCGACAGAGCAAAACGATATCCCCTCTGCTTGCCGAACAACGTGTCTATAGGGAGTATTCACTGGCGGCCATAGACGTATGCGCTGCTGCTGAGCGCGTGCTGACGGCGAGCTTCCGCAGTCCTTTTGGAGCGTGCATTTAGCACCATGAAGGTTGCCGGTCTTAGCAGGCTATTAATGTGTGCTCGTTCTGAGCATGCGCTCTAAACATCGCCCTCAAATATGGCGTCCAGTGAATACCTCCTATACTTCGTTCCAGCTTGAGTGCAGACGTAGCCGACACTACGAGCTAATGGGACCAATCAAGCAGCGCTAACAGCGCAAGTCACTAGGCCTCCCGATTCAATCACACAATATGGCAACCGCCAATGTTGTTTCGTGGCATTTTGAAAATAGACTTTGTATTGTGATCGGCATAGACCCGATGGTAAAGCTCTCCTTGTCGCAGGTCGGACATCGCACTGCTACACGTGTCGTTCGAGGGGCCAGCTGGGAGACTGTCGGGACCCGTTCCCCTACAACGAGACCACGGCCGACGGCGTCCGAGGTGTCGACGCCACGCCGTGCGCGTCCAAGTGGTGCGGCAAGCTCATCGAGGGAAGGGACGACGGTGAGGCATTCACTCGTGGGCCATATCGCTTTCCCAAAAGCTGCTCTCGGGGCAGCAGACCAATACCGCTTATTGCCACAGACAAAATGAGAACGGCAAGGAGGTCATCTAGCGCGAGCTTCGGCCTTCGATGACGCTTCGCCGTCTCGTGAGCCTCGATCGTGCACGCGCAGCTAAAGCTCGAAGGAAGTGAACGAGCGCGTGCTGGAGGTCGGGCATCGGTATAAAACGTCCTGCCGCTTTCCTTTTTTTCTTTTTTTGTCGAAGACTGCAAAAGACGATGAAGAGTTCTAGGGAACCGTTTTTGCACGTCCTTTACGGTACGATGGGCCCACGAAATGCGCATATACGAGTCTTCTGCGGTAGCAGATGCGCAGTCTGTACTGTGCATTCCGTCAACGTTCGTAAATCCTCGACCCGCCCTAAGTGGCAAACACAGCGAATTTCTACAAAAGTACGCACAATAAAGCGGCGGAGGCGCGCATCTTGGCGTCGCCCCGCGCTAACATTGAGCCCGTTGTGAGACGCTGCAAAGACGTGAACTAGGCGGTGTTGCGTGGATCTAGTAACGACTTTACAAGAAGAAAGTCAGCCGGTTCCGTTTTCGGCGTGGAACTTCAGAGACTCACCTTGTATGTCCCGCTACTGCAGTGCCACCAACAGGCGCCTGACGTCCTGCGATGGCGGTGGCGCTTTGCGGGGAGCAAGTCGTCTGCTTTTCGCGCAGGAGTTGCGGTGACGTCAGCAAGATGCCGAGCTCGATTGGCTCTAATTGAAGGATAAGTTGGTAGACCTCAAAGCAAGCTGCCTCGAGGTCTACCCGCTATCCTTCATTCAGAACCAATCAGAGCTCGGCGTTGACATCACCGCAGCTCCAACAAAAGAAGCAGACGAACTCTTGCACCGCATAGGAAGCTCGCGAGCCAACAGCGTCGTGCCGGTCGCCTATTGTTGCCTCCCCTAGCGGTAGCCGGCGCAGAATCATCGGGAAGCAATTGCGACGAACAGCACAGCGGACAGTGTCCCCGTCGTCATTACGACGGGGTGGCAGTACGAATCCAAAGCTCCTTCCGTGGTGTCAATATGACGAAGGGAAAACTCCTTCACGAATCTGGCCACGTGTACGACGTGAAGGAGGTCCGTTTCGACGGACGGACCCGTTTGCCGTTAGGTGCCCCCTGGTCGGGGCTCGAATTGGATCTACCCGGTTTCTATAGCTGTCCATGCATCGCAGAGGCTTTCTTTCTGGGAAACGGGTTTCGCCGCATACGCAATGCCCACAGCTTCAGAGGACAAACGTTCCTCTTCATAAACAACGACTCGATGTTGTTTGGACCGTCAGGCACCGGGACCCTGTTTACTGCCGTCGATAGAGGGGAAGGGATTGTTGTCAACTGTCGATCGGTTGCCCAGACCATGCCTGTCAGTCGGATTGGTTTGGACAAAGATCTTCCTCGAAAGAAATAATATAAATAAACCGTCACTCAATGAACCATCACCCGAATGCGGCTACGTAAAAGACTAAACGATTAGCTCCCTATACTCGCGACGATACACCACAAAGAGAAATTACATCACCGAGCTATTTGCAGAGCGATTTGATTCAATAAAGAGTATTGTACCGGAAAATAGAAACAATATTAATTTAAGTTTCAATATTCAAAAGCCACCACAATGCTTCACAACCAAAAAGCTTTTTAAAACAAAACGTATAGCCACCGAGAGAAAGAGAACAGCACTCTGAAGTTTCAGTTGTCCCGCTTCGGCGTCTCGCGCTCCACGCCTCGGCGTCTCGCGCTCCTCGTGGAGCGCATGCTCAAGGCCGGGTCTTCAAAAGACGCGCCCTGTCGTTCTGATTCTGCCAGTGACTATAGCATTTTCATATCATGACCACGGTGCACGGCCCAGCTATCACACCACACGCTATTGCCAACGTGTTTATTTTTTCTCTCTCTTCTTTTTTGCCAGCATAATTATTATGGTTACTGGGATGGACACGGCAGGGCGTCTCTTAGTCGCCCGGGCTCTCACCCCGCACTTGTTGCCTTTTATCGTACTTTGTCTGTGCGTGCACGGTCGAAGCTCACGAGACGTTCAAAAGTTATCGAAGCTAGGAAGATCGCGCTGGAGGTGAGACAACTGAAACCCCTCCCCGTCGTTCTCATCCTGCCAGTGAATATAGTACGAGGAAATGTGGTCACGCGAGTCACCAGCTCAAGGGGTCAACTCCGTGCTTCAATATGGCCTTGATGATAACAATGCCAAGAAGCCCACCTCTCGTGTCCGCGCTAACTGTATGGCGCAATTTACGTCGAAGAGATTTTTTTTCCTGCTCTGCACGAGGTCTGTTTACACGTACACCACAGCGCTATCTCTGCGCTATTAAGCCAGGGTCACACTATTCGTAGATCATACAAAAAGCAGCTTGTAAACACGAGTCACCGCAATGCCCGTGGTTCGAATGCCCGGTGCCAAGTTTCTCCGACAACCCACTGCCTCGCAGCATTCGAAGCACGGATCTCGCAGTGACTGGCGTTCGAATCTGTATGCAGATTGTCTCTTTTGTATGATGTATAAGCAGTGTGACCACGGCCTTAGACAATACTGGATATAGCGCTGACCTTGCCGATACAGCGTCACATCAGCGCTGAGTTACGTTGAAGTCAGCGCTGTACCAGCGTTGTTTCCATCGTTCGTTTCTTAGTCCAGACGCGGCCTACGTTACGAGCTGATGAGATCAATCGGACAGAATAAAAACTGCGCCATCATGGTGTTCGCCATATTTATGTAGGTGTTCCCAGCGTTATTAGAACCAACTCGGTTCTAGAACTCCGCTCCGGAGGGGGGGTCCCTTTGTGTGGCGCCTGTTAGAGGGTGCGCGCTCCGCATTAATACTCGCTATCATCACCATTTACGGCGCGCTTGTGGCCGTTGCATGCGGCCTACTGAGCTTACGGATGTTCGTGGCGCTTTTTCTAACAGTGACAGACGACTTTCAAATTGTGTCTGCTGCAGTTGGTAGTCATCGGCACATCTACTATTACAGTATGTAGAAACTTGCCCTGATTGTAGCGCCGACGAATTTGGGTTGTTCGAAACGCTTCGCGCTGTCAGCACAGCTAAGGCAGCAGCATTTTACAATAATGCAAAGCGTATGCCAAAACGGTCGTAGCGCTTTTCATGCTCAAATTGTAATTTTTACTGGCGAAAGGGCAAAAATTAACCAAAAACCATGCTAAACCTCGAGAGGAGTCAGGACTCGCAAGCAGCCGCGGAGCAGTAGCAGACGAAAACGCGTGGAATAATGCGCCGGCAGCGCCACCTAGCTGCAAAAAAATCGGACATGGTTTCGGACCACCTCCAATGTACAGCATCTATGGAAAGTTCCATAACTGAGTTGATCTAGTAATGGTGGGTGTTCCATCATCGCTGTACCAATCACGTACAGGGAAAGGCTTAATGACTTTCGCTTTTGACGCTGTTTGATCGGTCCCTTAACTCGTATACCGTCGGTTGCGTCTGGACTTAAGCTGAAACAAAGTATAGTGTTGGTCTATAGCACTACACTGTATGTTTGAACTGGCCCTTAAAGTGTTCAAGCTCCCTGGATCACGGACCCAACCAACACGCTTTTTTCGAAACTTTTTCGATCCTCGCAGACTTCGACCTGGCCACCGAGCGGATGTGCTTGCAGAGGCCTCCGGACGACCAGGAGGAACGCTGCGCCGAAACGCTCTACCAAAACAGACGAGTCTACATGTGCTTCTGTCGTGGCGACCTGTGCAACACCGCTCACACCACAACCGCCTCGGGACTCCTTACAACAGCCCTGACGGCTCTTCTATGCATCGCCTTCCACGCTGCCAAACTTCTCCAAGCTTAACGCCTGCAGGCACGATACAAAACGTTAGCGTCTCTTTCTGAAACAAGTTCGCCACGCTTACATGTCTATATACCCCGTTTGACACCAAGTTTGAGCGCAGCTGCGGTCGAACTATAGAGTGAAACGGAGTATATGCGCAAACGCGTCGCCACGACGAACCTCAAAAATCAGTCCGGCCCAGGGTGTAAGATAGGCAGGTGGGGAAACGGCCCATAGAAGCCTACCGCAGCGCCGTGACCGGATTGTGTACTCGTCTGCTTGCGGGTACCCTCGATTTGCGACAGATGGCGCTGCGGCGAGAGGAAAAAAATCGAAATCGGATTTGCATGGAACTTTGTGGGAGAGTGCGCAAAATAAACCGAGAGCACGACAGTCCTCTATTAAAAATCCACGAGAAACCATCTCCGCCAGGAGTCGTAGAAAGAATAAAAACACTTAGGGACAAGGACAGACAGCACAGTTCTTTCAACTAGCAACACACATTTACTGGTGTCTCCTTCAATAGTGCTATCTCCTTCCTAACGTTTGAGACTAAAGAGGAAGATGCGGAAATATATATATATATATATATATATATATATATATATATATATATTTCCGCATCTTCCTCTTTAGTCTCAAACGTTAGGAAGGAGATAGCACTATTGAAGGAGACACCAGTAAATGTGTGTTGCTAGTTGAAAGAACTGTGCTGTCTGTCCTTGTCCCTAAGTGTTTTTATTCTTTCTCTACTCCTGTATTTTCACCAACACGCTCTTTCATCTTCATCTCCGCCAGTTTAGCCGGTCGCCACCGGTCGCCCACCTGGAGTGAGTTCGCGGTACTCCACACAGATGGCGCCACAGAAAAAGAGAAAACCGAGGGGTACACAATCTGGTCGCTCATTTGGCTCTCGTTTCCCCACCCGTCTATCTTACACCCTGGTCCGGCCACTGTGCCCGGTTTCAACCCCTACGAGTTGAAGGAGCCAATTCATAGCGAAGCATGTGACCTTCCGATCGGACGGAGCGTGAAGTCACCTTGAACGCGTGGATGTGCCGGATTGGCGAACATATTTCCCGTGGCGTCCGTTGCGGCACGTCGGAATCCGAAACGGAGTAATAGAGACCATGCTCGATTGTTCTACCTCTCAATGTTGGTGTCTTTAGTAAATTATGTGTTTAGGCTGAGAGCTGTCACACTGCCACAGCAATAATTGGAAGCAATTGCGGTCATCTGGCATCATACAGACACGCGTACCTTCGAAAGCAACGCTGTGCAATATGCTTGGCTAGTCACAGCCAAGTTGGCGGAACGTGTACAAAACGACACTGAACAGAAAGTAAAATATATTGTTAGTTTACCAAGAATTGGTGTCATAGGTTTATTTAGAGACGAAGTGTTTTTCCTCCATTAAACTTCTACTGCGGCTCCACGAACGCTATTACGTCGAGAAAAAGCCATCGCATAATTTATAAACAAGCCCATGAACGGAGGCAAACAAAATATCTTTATAAAGTTGTCTTCATCCGGTGCCTCTGTCTTTATACTCAAGCTCTGTGGATGTAGGGTACAGGATGCAATAATAACGAGTTACTCCCATGCACAGGGCGAAAAAACACGCAAGTTTGAAGCCGACATTCAAAGTTGGCGCCATAGATGCTCGGATCTGCTTTGGAGGGTTCATCTCCAAGTTTTTGTATCAAACAGTCACACCTTTAGAACAGTTTCAGAAAGTTGCGCATTGTAAGTACTTCAAGTAAAATCAATAGTGATCTCTTTTCTTGAGGACACGGAAAGGAAATGTTTCGGGGATGACATTTGACAGGCATATGCAATGACATTTATTGCACACACACACACACAAAAGAAAAAGAAAAAAAAAAGAATCGATGTATGCGGAAACAATGTTCTACTCAAAATCAGACAGAAGCAAAATATCAATTCTTTCCACAAATATTTTATAAGGCACTGGGTAAGACCATCTACTGAATAGATGGTGTCATGAAAGATGGGAATATGTATTATCACGAGCCATTTTGGTGTAAAGAATGGTCTCACACAACTTCCTCGCACTAGAAACCCTACCTAGGACGAAGCAGTGAAATAAGCTGGCAAATAATAATTTGCATCAAATTTCGATGCAAATAATAATTTACATCGAATTTCGAATGATTGAATTTGTAGGTTTTCTCGAAAATTGCATAAATATAACCATTGTATGAGTTGAGATAGTCCCAGAAAGGGAAGGACTTTCTGCATCAATGCCGCAGAACTCCTCTTCAGTCATGATGTAATTAAGATAGAATAGCAAATACTCTCGACTAAATGTATTTGAAAGATACCAAAATACTATCAAAGGTATTTTAAATATAGTATCTTGAGTAGAGTATTTAAGATAGGCACAAGTCTGGTATATAGGTCACGCGACACCGAGATGGCTGACTGTCAGTTGGTGAGTTTCGTTAGAGGCATTCATTGTGTCGTGGAAAAATATTTTAACGTTCATCTTTCATAGACTGTAGCGCCACCTATCATTCCGTTCCGGACAGATAAAAACGCTTATATTAGAACCAGCCGTCTACATGCTCTCAGCCATCACTACATTTGGTGACATAAAACTTTAACTGCACTACGTTCACTCAGCATACCGATCCCCCCCCCCCCCCCCCTTCCCCCTTCTCAATCTTTCGTTTCCTTTTCCTTAAAAACAATTGCCAAATCTGGTTTCGTTTCGACTTCTTAATTAACATATAAAGGTAAAATAGAACGCTTCTTCTACCTTTCACCTTGGGAAAGACATCCACGGGCTACGTATAAGTTGAAAACCTCGGCCGAGTCCAACGGGGAAATAACTGGGTTCACCCTAGGTTCACCTCATCCACACCATCCGCCAGTTCTGCTTTCACGTCTCGTGCGCACGCAGGTAAGTGGTCTCAGACATGAAGGGTGACTTGCGGAAGATGGGCTCGTCGTCCATGTGCTCCACGAGAACGTCGGCCTTCACTTCCAGTGTCACCTTGTGGAACTCGCGAACGAAGGTGAAGAAGAAGAACACCAGGCACAGGCCGAGCAACCACTCGAACGTCGCTGACGCCACCAGCAGCGGGAATCCCTGCGCATGAGAAGGAAGAACCTCTAACAATCGACAAATCCCTTTCGAAAGTCGCGTGTCCATTGATGAAAGGTCCGAAGCACTGCACAATGCCGGAACAAGCGACAGCACAAAACGTGAGATACTAAAACTACGTAAGCTAGATGAAGCGGCAGTAGTAGAATTTCCAGGGTTCCAACATTGTCGGTGTCTTTCTGTGTCCGCAATTAGCCACTAAATGAACTGCGCTCAGAGTATCGGCACTCCGTTCCCCGACATTGTTGTGGGCGCCGCCATTTTGGTGCTTGTGCAGAGCAGACGCAACTGCCGATCGTCATGGATCAAAAGTGCAACTTCCACAGCATTAGATTCGGTGTTAGGAAGCTCATGTAATATTGCTTTGCTTTGTCGTGAACTGTTTAAACATTTGTGGAGGACAAAAAAGCGTTTCCTGTGATTTTAGACAAAGCTTCAGGTAACTGGCAACCATGATTTTAAGCCACGATATGGCCAAGTGTCGTTACTCTGAAGCGTAGCTTATTTAGCGGTTCTAGTTTATTGCACCCTCGACCCGGTGCTTTATTTAATTGCCCATTGACACTGGGTATGCAACCGCCAAGGGTATGAGAAAAAAGGCTTAGAAACGGACGTCGTGCGCGAGTTAGTTCCGAGCGTTACTTTATACCGTGTTACAATTTTTAAATATCTACGGTTGTCTCGCTGTCAGTGCGTCGTCGGAAAGTGCACACATTTCAATGAGCATAAGAACAATCGCGGAAAGTGTGCAAGGAACACAAGAAGCTGCTGCGCGAGTGTGGCTGCATGGAATGCTGTTGAACTTTGCATGTTCCCCAAGAATCTTCATTCATGAAGTCAGTCGATTGGGAGCGTGAATCGCGAGGGCTTTGTGTCAAACGCATGGTCACGTTTATGCTCAAGACGACTTCGTCTACGGCAAGCGGACCGATTCCAACCCAGTGCCGGTGCTTCGATGAATTACCACTGGAAGGTAATGGTATGCTATTACTCCATGGCGTGTTGAGGATATAATAAAGTCTACGTGCCACGGTCCACCACCCAAAAAGGTAGTTATCAAATGCCGAGAGCTTATCTGCATATAGACTACATTAAGCTGTTCATATATTCCTCAATTGTGGAAACTCGATTAAACCACCCCACCGTCTTCGTCCCCGTTCTTTCAAGGAGGCATGGTTGGCAAGGTGATGGCCTGTCATTAGCCCGCTGGATTCAACCGGCCAAGTTTTAGCCAAGTTATGTAGCCCACCAAAGCCAAGTTCCCTTCATATCCACACATAGAGTCACTAAATGTGCTACGCTTAAAGCATCGGCACTCTGTTCCCCGACATTGTTGTGGGCGCCGCCATCCTGGTGCTTGTGCAGAGCAGACGCAACTGCCGATCGTCATGATTCAAAAGTTCGACTTCTTCAGCATTACATTCAGTGTTAGGAAGCTCATGCAATCTTGCTTTGCTCTGTTGCAAACTGTGTAAACATTTCTGGAGGACGGAAAAGAGTTTCTGGTGATTTCAGTTAAAGCTTCAGATAATTGGCAACCATGATTTTAGGACACAAGATTGGCAAGTGTCGTTACTCTGAAGCGTAGCTTATTTAGTGGCACTAGTGGCACCCCTATACTGGGCTTAACGAGACATGTTGTTGGGCTAACTGGTGCATAATACGGAGGAAACGTGTATAAGCAAAACGGAGACGAGTACGAAAGAAGGGAGCACAAACAAGAGAAATTATTTTTTTTTTAACTTCACGTAACTAAGGTATTAACAAAGCATTTCGCTAGCAGGCCGTCCTGTGAGATTTATTTAAATCTGGCGCGCTTTCTTGAAAGCTCGAAAGACTAGACACACAAAGGCTACCTTGGCTGAAATGACACGACGGGATGTTTTTTTAACATGTCCTACAACTTTTGTATTGAATGTTTCGTACACAAATATTATTTAAAAAGTTAACTAATTAATTTTTTATTTACCCAGTTTCGTACATCGCAAAAAAAATAATATATTGACTTACTCAATAGGACTGAACCGCGTTAGATCCACATGCGTAG